TGCTTGAGGTTTTTGATCGATTGTCGCGAGATTTGTATGGAAACGTTGAACCATTCGGGAATGCATTGATCTTGCTCTCAGGAGATTTAAAGCAAACATTGCCTGTAATTTCTCGATTAACACTAGCGGGCGAGATAAATGCTTGCTTGAAATAGTCTACATTGTGGCAAAGGTGAAGAATTCCCATTATTCCGACCGATACACAATTTCAATTTTAAAGATTGCAATTCCCAATTCGATTGGCATTCGGAATCGCAATCAATAATGCCCAAGGTCAACCTTTGGAAAGTTTAGATGCGGATTGCTGCTGAGATGTTGCATGTTCCCGTCCCGGCAAACCAGATATCCTTGATATCTATGCAGAGAATGGCAAAACGACAAATATTGTGTGCACACAAGTACTTATGTATTACAAAATCAAACTTATATGCGACGTATGCTTTGTTTCGTTAACCATTTATCATCCATGTAACAGGAATATGCCACAGCAAAGCGTGGCAGGGTACAGCTAGTATTACACTGTGGAACAAATTCAGGTTAGCAAAAGTTAGGTCGATTCTGAGAGTGAGGGGTGAAAATAGAGGCGTTTGTTTATGTTAGTTCGAATTTTTTTTTAATCGACCTTCGAACTTTGCAGTCAAAGGCCGATTTTCAGAATACTGTTTATATGGTTTTTTGGCTATAACTCGTCGACTAATTGATATTTTTTCAATCTGTTAAAGCAAAATTATTGCTAGAGACCTGTGCAACAATTAGAATTTAAAAAAAAATTGATTTAGAAAATTTTTGTAGTGCTTATGAAGCAAAATGTTGGAAATTTTTTTTTCATGCTTTTTGAACTTATTTTCCACAAAACTAAGTATTTTTTGCTTTCTGTTTGATCTATAATATGCTTCTCAGTTTCTTCAATAAATTTCATTTGAAAAGAAAACAATCATGATACAAAACTTGCGTTTTCCAGCTTAGTATTAATTTACTTCTCATTTCTTATGTACCATTTTTTTCAGTGTTGGCTTTGAAGAAACATTGAAAAAGAAATTATAAAAATATGGAAAAAAATATAATTTTGAAATGTTAGTTATGAAAAATTTTAAGTAAAAATATTAAATAAATTAAATTAATGATTTGGCCAGTTGCCGTTTAGCAGGCGGCTGTGGATCAACATCACTGCTCTCTCTAATATCTTGGTCATCGTCATCATCATCAGAAAGGTCGATAATTTCGTCCAACAGATATTCTGGAATTTCATATTTGTCTTCCCCTTCTTCCTCTTTTTCCTCGACTTTCTCTTCTTCAAAGGTGTTTTTATACCACCAACAAATTTCAGCGAGTATTGCATCTGGAGATTTCTTTCCTCTGTACCTGAAACGAAAATAGTTTTCAATCGTTAACATGTTTAAATTGTGCACTCTGACAAAGATATTAGAAAAATCTAGGAATTCAAAATATGCACACTTATTTCAAATGGAAGCGCAGTTTCGTGATAACGTTCGCCTTGCTCATCAGATTCAGTTGGCAACTGTTGAGCGAGTTGATTAAGATGCTGATGCAAGAGATGAATTTTGTACGACATATTAACCCCAATTTCATCGAAAGCTGCCAACATGTTTGCAACAGATTGCCTGTAGTTGTCTTTGCGTTCTTTACCCAAAAGTCCTTTAATGACTGCTTTCAATGCGAGCCATGCATTTAATTCTCGGTCTGTCAGAACTTCGTCAAAATCTTGACGACTCTTGATGTCTTTTAAGCGGTTGAATACTGCTGGTCTTTTTGCGATACATTTCAAAAAAATTTTTGCAATGCCAAGTTTAATGTGGAGCAACGGCAACAAAATTTTCATTTCTGGAACAAAACTTTCGTGTAGCCTATTGTCTTTAGGCCATTTCCGTCCAATGCTGTTTGTACTGGTTTCTTCTTTTAATACCTTCTCCGTATCGTGAATCCCAGTCGCACAAAAAACACGGATATTTTGGACGGCCAGATGGTGTTAAGCCTGTAATCAATGAAACTATTTTGAGGTCGCAGCAAATGCGCCACTGGTGTTCGTTATATTTGACTACTTCCAGAATGTGTTTCAAATTATGGAAATTTTCACTAGTGTCAGTGCTATACGCAATTGGAACAGAAGGCATTCTATTCGTCTTGTGCAAAAGCACAACTTTTAAGCTGATTAGTGAACTATCGAAAAGCGAAATTTTTTGCATCATTCACATTGAAGAACTTTTCTAACTCTTTTTGGCGTTTTCGATATGCTGTTACTTTGGTACCTTTCGCCAGCAAATTATTTCCTTTCAAAAATGAAGCCAGTTGTTCTGATTTTTTCTGAGTCAAACACAAAATTGCAACAATTGCATCCAATTGCTTTTGTGTGACTAGGATTGGGTCCTTTGATGTTTCATAGGATGTACCTTCACCAGGGTCGTATTCTGAGAAGAAATGCATGGATATATTTAGCAGCGGCGGTTGTAGTACTGATATCTGTTTGAAGATCAATACTTCGGTATGTTGGTACTGGAACGAATTCTGAGTGCGGTAATGGTAATTGGACCCTTGGCACTGCTACATAAGTTTTATTCTTTGCTTTCCTTCTATTCAAAGTTTTGTGGTAGTTGATACATCCATAGCAATTTTCTTGTTGATGCGGGCTGTTGTCTAACCACATCATTGGTATACCAAAAGGCATAGCCTTCTTCTTTTCACTTTTCCATTGCATAACACTTGAATAGCAATTAAAGCAAACTTTTTTAGGGGCATAGTTTACGTCAGTGATAAACTCTTGCGAGAAATATTGTTTATAGGCTTCCAAAAAACAACCACTCGCATTGCCACATTTTTCATCGCTTGCTATGAAACGTCCACAAACATTACAAACATGGTCCATTTTACATTTTGGTTCCGACAATGTTGTTTTTGTTATTTTTATGAGACCGATGCACTTAACTTAAATCACTCACAAAATGAAATAAGTTCCAAAAAAATTAATAGCGAATTTTATCACGACCGAGCGAAAATTAAAAGACATCAGCTTCGGCTGAGTTTCGAGTCTTAACTGAATCTTTATTTTTGATATTAGTTCGCTTGTACGAAATAAATAAAAATCGCTACCTGTGCGGTGGTTGGAAACAAAAAAGAGGAAGACGAGGAAAAAGAGGAAGGGGAAGAAATTTATTGCATTTGACTGCAAAGTTCGAAGGTCGATTAAAAAAAATGCGAACTAACATAAACAAACGCCGCGATACGGGTCTTCTAATTTAGCCTCTATTTTCACCCCTCACTCTCAGAATCGACCTAACTTTTGCTAACCTGAATTTGTTCCACAGTGTTATCATAATAATGTAAACCATCCAAAATGTATGTAAATTTGCATGCAAATTTGGCCAACTAACTTATGACAAACCGATAGTTGTATAAAGAGGGGCACAAAGGAGGGCTTGTTTTTTCTTTATCTCGATACAATAATATTGGAACTAAAAAATAGTCATATTTTCAAAATTTGCAATTCCTTGCACTTATTTTAAATCTTCGGTGAAAATGTTTTTTT